ACCCCAGGGTATACTGCTCTAATGTTAGATTTTTGATCCAACTGTGGATGAAAATTTCTTTCCTTAAAAAAAAAGAACTACAACTGGCCGGGCACAATCACTCACATTTGTAATCTCAACCCTTTGGGAGGCCAAGATGGGAGGATTTCTTGAGATCAGGAGTTTGAGACCAGCCTGAACAACATGGTAAGATCAAGAAGAAGAAGAAGAAGGAGAAGGAGGAGGAAAAAGAGAAGGAGGAGGGAGAAAAGGAAGATGGGGAGGAGAAGGAAGAAGAAATAAGACAAACCAGTGACACAAAAACCTGTGAGAGAAAAAAAGCCTTAATTCAGCCTCTTCTAATAGTCCCATAACTGTTTTATAGGTTAAATAGAGGTTGTTCAGCCTCCAGTGATACAGGTAGACAGATAGTAAGGGATATCTTGCTCATTCCACATAAAGAAATCTCCATCCTTCATTTGAGGTTTCTCAGTTAAGAGATACATTTTTTTTTTACTTTTCTTTTTTTGAGACGGAATCTTGCTCTGTACCCCAGGCTGGAGTGCAATGGCATGAGCTCAGCTCACTGCAACCTCTGCCTCCCGGGTTCAAATGATTCTCTTGCCTCAGCCTCCTGAGTAGCTGGATTACAGGCATGTGTCACCATGCCCGGCAAATTTCTGTTTTTAGTAGAGATGGGTTCACCATGTTGGTTAGGCTGGTCTGGAACTCCTAACCTCATGACCTGCCCTCCTTGAACTCCCAAAGTGCTGGCATTACAAGCATGAGCCACTGCACCCAGCACATTTCTTTTCTAATAGGCTGACAACTAAAATGGGCACATTCTTCAAAGGAGGCCATTGCTCACTAGACAGAGACACACATCTAATAGCCACTATTAATTTAAAATTGCTGGCCTAATAACACCTGCAATATCTGTTTAACAAAAGTGTATATGCACTCAGCATTGTAAAGAACTTTAGTTAATACATCTCTATATAGGTAATTTCCATATATATATTTCTATTCCTTTTTTTGAGATAGGGTCTTGTTCTTTCACCCTGGATGGAGTGCAGTGACATGATCACTGCAACCTCTGCCTCCTGGGCTCAAGCGATCCTCCCACCTCAGCCTCCTGAGTAGTGGGATTACAGGCACATACCACCATACCCAGCTAATTTTTTTGACTGTTTGTTTGTTTTGTAGAGATGAGGTTTAACCATGTTGCCCAGGCTGGTCTCTAACTCCTGGATTCAAGTTATCTGCCTGCCTCGGCCTCTCAAAGTAATGGGATTATAGGTTTGAGCCACCATGCCCAGACAACAGATTTATATTTCTAATTCAAGTTTACATATTCATTCTTTCTCTTGTTTATCTATTCAATCAAAATTTCTTGAGCATGTCTTATGTGTCAGGCGTTACTCTAGGGGGCAAACAAGACAAACATGGCAGCTACCCTCATGGAATTTGCATTAACAAAAGTAGGCAGACATTCGAAAAATTATAAGTTGGTTAGGTGTTATAAAAGAAAACTGGCCGGGCGCGGTGGCTCAAGCCTGTAATCCCAGCACTTTGGGAGGCCGAGGCGGGTGGATCACGAGGTCAAGAGATCGAGACCATCCTGGTCAACATGGTGAAACCCCGTCT